CAATAAAAATACAGTTGGCAGTCATCAGGGTTCACAGCTCACATAAATCTTGAACTTTTGACTTAATTACCATGGGAGAGTTCAAAGGGCAGCCTGGAGTGGTTGAAAGAGCATTGCCCAGGGAGCTGGAGGCCTGGGTCTTCCCTCAGCCTGGCCTTGACCATGCAACCTTGATCAGATCACTTGACCTTTCTGGGTGACATTGATCACATCTGCCATTGGACCAGATGGTGACTGAGGCTTATTGGTACAGTGGTAATATGATTCCATGTTTTTCCTTTAAACCGCTGGGCTGTATTCTCTTTTTGATTTCAGAAAGAGAGGAGACCATAGACCTTAGATGTCCATGTTGAGACACATACTGGGGCATGTAAGGGCTTCTGTAGGGGCAGCCCATGTTTTTGATTGCATGGTCAAAAGAAACCCTTTAATCCTACCATGTGTTGACAAAATCAGTATCTGCCTAGAATACCTGGACAGAATGTTAGGACGTGGAGGGACCTTACCATACCAGAACATTCAGTTCAACTCCCTCATTTTATAGCTCAAGCTTTTAGCAGTTGTCCATCTGGTACATTTGTCCATCTCTCTGTCCATCCGTCCATCTATCCATCCATCCATCCATCCATCCACCCATCCATCCATCCATCCATCCATCCAATAAACACTTGAGTGCCTACTCCATGGGCTGAAGGCAACTCAAGCTGTACCCTTCAGATGCTCTACTCTTACTGGTCAGCAGACATTGAAAGGGATACATCTCAGTATGGAGACACCCTGCTGATGGAAATACGTAAATGACAAAGAGGAGGCCTAGCAAAGGAATGTGATGAATATTCACTGTGGGATGGAGGTGGTAGGTTGAAGGAACGTTGAGGGAAGTTTTTGTGGGGTTATACATCTCTGTTTAACCAGCACATCTTAAGAGAATACTGCTATATTAAAGTAAAATTTTATTAGCATTTTCACTAATATACAATAACTGTTTCAGTGTAGAAAATGATATTGAGTAGGTATAGTATTCCTTGACGGGATTTTACTTATTTATTTTTTGCCTGGGTTTTACTGTTCCTTTAAGCCCAGTGTTAGTATTTAATGACTAAGAGAGCATCATTCTTTTGCTACACGTTACATCAGAAGATCTGAGAATATCAGAGCAGAAGGGACCCACCCATCCTATAGGTCAGCTTGCTTACCTCTGATTTAGTAGAATTCATTTCTTCACGCCATCCGAGATTTCTATCACCATTCCTTTTCTGTGGATTGACTTTAAACTCACTCCTCCTACATCCCTAAGATTATGCCAGGGAGGATCCATTAAGTAGATGCTCAGAGACTTCTTTGAAATGTGATGTAGCCTTGGCCTGCAGGTTTCATTTTTTATAAAGTTGTTGAGGAAAGGTTTGTACTGAACACCTACTATGTGCAAGGGCCATCTTGCTTTTGTAAATCATTAATTTGTTAGGTGAGTTCCTTCTGCAAGTGAAAGTTAACCCACGGTATTAAAAGAGGAGCCTGGTCCTGGTCTCTCACCAGCTGTGTTGTTGTTCTTGGTGGTAGTGCTGGCATTTCCGTGTGTCCAGACTGCAAATTTGGCAGGAAATATCGAATACAAAGTTCGCGGAGGACATGAGGCCACCGAGGAAGAAAGTGCAGCTAGGGCTAGTCCTATAGTCTCATTATTTTTCTAGACCTTTCAGTCTCCACATAAAACTAGGTTATTTCAGGAGGAGCCATTATAAAATAAAAATTCCTCCCCTCGAGCATCATGCGCATTAAAAAAATTCATGAGCCAAAATCTTCAGGGAAAGTCTGGTCACAGAAGTGTGCTGTCCTGTGTGATGTGAGTGGGACTGGGCAGAGCGTTGGGGTGGCCCACCACTGCCACACAGACAACCTGGAAAACTTGGCTCAGTGGCTTTTCTGTCGAGTCACTATCTACAGGTATTCAGGAAAACAGAGTGTTGCAGATGTAGGTTTCGAGGGGTAGCCGTGTAGGCGTGTAGGCGATCGGTTTCTACTCTGTTGATTAGATTTTACAGTGCCCCGCCCACCTGGCATCCCTGCGATTTTAAATTTTTTTTTTTTAATTTATTTATTCATGAGAGAGAGAGAGCGAGGCAGAGGCAGAGGGAGAAGCAGGCTCCCCGCCTGGCAGGGAGCTCGATGCGGGACACGATCCCAGGACCCTGGGATCATGACCTGAGCCGAAGGCAGACCCTTAACCATCTGAGCCACCCAGGCGCCCCATCCCTGCGATTTTAGATGACAAGCTGGGTGCCCATACCCTGCTTCATGGCCGTGCATCTATTTTGCACGAGCAGATTTTATAGGTGCAGTTTTGACGATTGAAATTTTACCCCAGGGAAGTGGCTTCCTGCCAGAAATCCCAGCAAAATTCTTTTCACCCTTGTCCTTGAATCATTCCTTAGGTGCCAAGACAAAGGTGCTGGCTGTCAGTGTGACGTTGCCACAGGCCGTGACCGTGTGGGCTCATATGGTCTGGGGTGATCCCTGTGTGGGTTACAGCCTCCCTGACAGCTTCGCTCTGGCAACGTTCCTAGTTCCTTCAACTAAATCTTAACTTTTTAACATTTTAGGGAATGTACAAATCATGCCTAATGGAATGTAAGCACATATCTGTTGATTTCTTTTATACGAAAATGAAAAGACATTCCAAAGGATCGGCTCAGCTGTAATTGATGCTATATCAAAGTTACTACATTACTATTTAGCTAATTCATGTGAATAGGCCATTGTGTTTACTTAAACAAATGACATGATTATAGACACCTGACAGCATGAGGTATGCTTTTCATTTAGGTCAGATTTATAAAAGTCTTTGTGTAGCGACAAAGCTCATTATTTATTTTGTGCTCTTAATGGTTTCTTTTTAGTGGCTGTGCTGTGGATGGATTTTTCTAAGTAGAAGCTTTTAAAATGAAAGATTATTGAAATTGTTCCAGTATATGCCAGGCTCTGGGAGTCTTGTGATGAATAGCAATCAAGTACTCCCCAGTGAGCCCTCAAAAGAGTGGGTGTGTTTATGGGCATGCGACACCCAAAGCCAAATGGCCACCAAGTTGCCTACTCATTGCAGATACAACTGGATTCAGAGGAAAGCATGCAACCCTGTTCTTATTCCCTTGGCTCTCCTCCTGGCCCTGCTCTGGCCTTTCTTTTCTCTGGTACACATGACCACCTCAGTTTTGCCTTGCCTGCACGGTCTTGGCATTGTGTAGACACCATCTACATCTACACTGATACTTAGATAAACAAGGATAAAGAAGATTCAGCATGCCCTTGTTAAGAAATCTCAGCTCCACCTTTTATAGTCCGGTTTCAAGAGCAAGGGTGAGGCAAACAAGGGTAGGTGTTTTGAATGCAGTTTTTCCAATTCCTCATTCTGCCATGAGAGTCTGGCTGTTAAGGGGATTGTTGAGCGCCCCCCTCCCCCCCCGGGAGCGAGCTCTGTCATCCACAGAATAGAGGAGGAGACCTATAAATCCACATCAGAGGCAAAACCCCTGCCTGGACCCGTTTGTCTCTGGTTTGTGAAATGTGGGTGCTGCGGCTCAGTCTAACCCTCATCAGCGGTAAACACAGTTATGAATCAGTCTTCTAGGATTTCAGTGTTATAGAATGTTCTAGAAGGTGCAAGGCCCTGTTGATGGATGCTTTAGGGAAATTTTGGCTCCCAGTTTGCTAAGACAGAAACATACATGTGAAAAGTTAAATAGCTATACAAGATTTGAGTGGAAATTTGGGGCAGTAATCAAGAAGGCAGTGTGCCTTTGGCAAGGGCTGGCTGTCCTGGACTCCGGTCTTTAACATCAGAGTGGTTGAAGGTGTGGATTTCGACCCCTTGGAGAAGCTGGTTCTTACCAGCAGCCATGGAGAGTAGGGGCAAAGACAGTGGGCTCTGGAATCAGACTGCCTTGGCTCAAATCTGCCTGCACTTCTTCCTAGCTTTGTAGCTTCTCTGTGCCTCAGTTTCCTTGTCTGTGAACGAGGATTATAATAATGCCCTTTTCATCAGATTGGTGTCAGGATTAATATGCTAAACATGTAACAGCTTTTAGAGCTCGGTTTGGCAAATAAGAAGCCCTCACTCAATAGTGCTCATTAGCTGCTGTTGGCAGGCATGAAGAATTTACGGTGGTATTCTGGATCGTTGCTGTGGTTCATACTTAGATAAAATGTCCTTTGTTTGGCAATTTAAAAAGTTATCTCTTCTCTTGAGTTTAAAGAATCACTTGTATCCATGACTTTGCAGGTCATTTAGAGGGCTCACCTTCACATAACATGTAATCGATAGCCTCCTGTTAAGTTTTACCTGTTTAGACATGGTGGTAGAATTATGGCATTCACAACTGCTGAAAAATCTTTTCTCCATTAAAAAAATTAAAACATAGTTAGTGATAGGGCTTTCTGGTTTGTCATATAAAGTACTGGGAAATTAATGATGCCTCCCTGAATAATTTATCATCTTAGGATGGTAAGTTATATTATTGATTATTCTTTACAGCTTCCGTGGCTAAACTGACTTGGCTTCTAGTGCACCTTGTGTGTGTATGTGATCATTTGCTAGGTGTGGTGATTGATCTAAAATGATACATTTTGGAGGACTCAGCAACTAACAGGAGGACTCAGAACTAACAACATTTTGTTAGTTACTGTATGGGTTGTCACTGTTTATATAAAGCAGCATTTGAAAACGTGATTTGCCATGAATTTATATTCTGGCCCTAGGAACAAGGGAGAGAAGGTACCTCAAACACTTTTTCCCTGTTAAGAGACACAAACTAACAAGCAGTCCATCTCCAGGGACCTTCTGCTAGGCCATCTGCTAGACTTCAGAAAACTTTTTTCCTAATGTAAATATTACCCAAAGATTTTTGAGAATGTCAGCTCGCTCACTTACAAAGTAACATTATCTTCCCTGTTATGGAAATGAAGCTCTCCTTCTCTGTACATTGTAACCGTGTTTTCCACCCCAGGAGCACCGTACTGGACCAACACAGAAAAGATGGAAAAGCGACTTCATGCCGTCCCTGCGGCCAATACTGTCAAGTTTCGCTGTCCGGCTGGGGGAAATCCAGCACCAACTATGCGGTGGCTGAAGAATGGAAAGGACTTTAAGCAGGAACATCGCATTGGAGGCTATAAGGTAGAATGAAGTTTTCAAAATGTTCTCTTTCTTATGTTTTTATGAATCTCTTTTTTAAGTAGTTGAAAGGTAGCAGGAACCGGAAGGAAAATATATATATATTTTTAAATCAGTTGTTGTTGGGGTGCCTGGGTGGCTCAGTCGGTTAAGCGTCTGCCTTTGGCTCAAGTCATGATCCCAGGGTCCTGGGATCGAGCCCCATGTCGGGCTCCCTGCTCTGCGGGAAGCCTGCTTCTCCCTCTCCCACTCCCCCTACTTGTGTTCTCTCTCTCTCTGTCAAATAAATAAATAAAATCTTAAAAAAAAAAAAATCCGTCGTTCCCCTCATCGGTCATTTCCACGGTTGATCTTTTAAAACCGTTTTCCTGGACTCGCACATACTTTAAAAGCACAGTCCCCACTGGCATTGTTCTTTATGCGAGAAGAGTTTATAACAGGAGGGTAGAAAGTTGAGAGTCTGTTTTCTATATGCTTTATAGTCTATAAAACTAAAACTGAAGCAGAATCAGAGAAGCGTCAGTATACTTGCCCTGTTTGAGCAGGGTTGTGTGAGTACGGATGGACTTGGCTCAGACGCTGGGTATGAAATAGTGTTTATGAAGAGAGAATGCTTCCATGGTGACAGGCCATCTCTGTCCTCTGTCTGCAAGGCTCTGGAGAGCCCATCACAGAAGGTGGTGAAGTGTAGTCTCCCCCGCTCTGGGGGAGGTGGACCTTGACAGCCGTCTCCCTAAAGAGGCCTGTAAATGCCCGTTCAGGCTCTTGTTCATCCAGTCAGCGGATGTTGATGAGCATCGTTGGGGGCAGGCACCCTCCGAGGGCTGGACAGCGCACAGCCTCAACTCACGGGGCTTCCTCGTCCAGAAGGGAAGGCAGACCAGAGAGCCGGGATCTGAGTGGGCCAAAGTCAGAAGAGCTTGTTGTCCTGTGGGTGTGCAGGGAGAGAGGATGTTGGCTCTTGGGAAGGCTAAGGATAACAGAGGTCAGGAAGGGAACCTGGGCTGAGTTTGAAGGAAGGGTGTCTCAGGAAGAGAGACATGGAGTCTCTGCATTATTTAGTATGGAAGGGGAGGCCTTGAGGAATGTAGTATGTGAGGAAGGCTGAAGGAATTTGACTATGACATTCTTTGGTCCCTTTGGATAGCATGAGTCCGTGAGTCGGTGCATTGGTTACTTATTACTGTGTAACAAATTCCCCCAAGGTGCAGTAGCTTTAAACAACATTTTTTATCACCGTTTTCCAGGTGTGGCTTAGTTGGGCCTTCCATGGCGAGGTCTCTTATAGGACTTAAGATTTCCGTTATGTCTGGAGTCTCATTTGTAGGATCAGCTGTGGGGAAGGACCTGATCCCAGTCTCATTCCCGGGGTTGTCAGACTCACTTCTTTGCAGGTTGTTGGGCTGAGGGCCTTAGTTCCTCACTGGCTATGGGCTGGAGGCTGCCCTCACTTCCTTGCCCCATAGGCCTCTTCGTGTGGTAGCTGGCCCCCCTCAGGGAGAGCAGACAAAAAGAAGTAGCGTGTGAAGAAGAAAGGAGTCACAGCCTTTGGTAACCTGATCATGGATGTGACCTCTAACCACCTTGGCTGTTTTCTGTTATTCAGCAGATCATTAGGGGAGGAGATGAATTCCCCAAGGGCATGGACATCAGGAGACCTGGGATCAGCGGGAGCCATCTGGGCAACCTGCCGGGGGACACTCTAGACTGGACCCTAGGTTCTGAAGAACCAGGTCAAAGAGGGTTTCTTGGTAGATGGACTTTTCTGCTACAACTGTGTCCACGACACCCCGACGACACTTGAGAGAGGGCACGTGAGCCCCGACCTCATCACTGCTATGGTTCATTGGGCCTCCTCTCTACAAAAAAGTGCCCTGGAGCCCTTTTCTGAAATACCCTACCCAATTCTCATCTTTAAAAGGGTTGTTTTCTTCTACAAAAATGGTTGACTTTTGTGTTAACATTTAAAAATATCCAGAAGCCAAAACCCGGAGGACAACGGGGAAAGCCTAGGAGCGAATTTCTAAGCGTGGACATGGGGCAATTTGCGTGTGCGACAGGTGTGAGGTTTATCTGCTGCGAGGTGGATGCCTTGGAAGCTGTGGAAATAGACGTGCTTGGCCTGTCTTCCATGACTCCTGCTTGCCTGCTTGTTGGTGGGAGCAGAAGGCAGGAGGGTGCTTTGTCTCTTTGCTCTGAGGTCAGTACTTACACCAGGCACCGTGAGATGGGAAGGTTGGCTTGCTTTTTTTGTAAAGGCTGATAAGACAAAGATTTCCTTAGGTGGGTGCTGGTTGGAAAGGAGGAGTTAAAACGACTACAGTTGTGGCCCTGGGGATTGTTCTAACCACCGAATGCTCTCCGGGAACATAATTGATGCAGTTCCAATGATTTCATTTCAATACAACCAAAGTATAAGAGTGGTGGTCAAGATCCTGGTGGTTAATGAGTTTCCTCATTTAAGACAGCCTTGGAAAAAAGTAAAAAGAGTTGATGAGCCTCCAGAAACTCGTGGTCTCAAAATAAATAGGACCAACATCATTATTATGGGTAAGGAGCTTTTTGCAAATCTGAATTAGTGATTATAAATGCGCTGGAAGACTAAGGGTGCCTGATGAGGAAATACTGCTTGATTTTTAGCAGGTGCAGTTCAGTTTTAATCACCGAGGGCAACATTCCACTAACCGAAGAGCGCCTGGGTTCTAAAAGCAAAGTGGGGGAACCTTTCGCAGAGTACCTTTAACCTGTTCGCGTGGAGGCACAGACCAAAGGATTTTTTGTCGTTTCATGTTGGAGCCATTTCTGGAGTGAAAGAGAGTGGGGATTTGAGTGCATGGGAACAAAAATTCTGAAGTATATTTTGCTACAGGGGTGCCTGGTTGGCTCAGTCGGTAGAGCATGTAATGCTTGATTGGGGGTGTGGGTTCGAGGCCCACATTGAGTGTAAAGATTCCTTAAAAAACAAGATCTTGAAAAAAGATAAAGTACATTTTGCTGTTAAAAAAAAAAAAACGATCAAGGAGGGGGGAGAGCATTGGAACCTTTGGAAGGTGGTGTGCTGGCTGGTGGTGAGGCGTGCACATTTCTGGTCCTGTTGGACTTCCTCTGGAGAAGAGACCGTGGCCATGTCTGAGTGCCCTGGGGTGTGGTGGGGGTGTCAGTCCATCAAGCGCAAAGGTGGTCGACCTGGGTTGAGTAAGGAGTTTTCACAGCAGTTGTGGTATAGGATGTTGATTTGGGGGATACTGGTTCCTTCAGGAATTCCGTCGAGCCCCACGGGCTTCTGGGATTTGAAAGGGAAAGAGATCTCTCATCTCCTGGGAAAACATAGTTACCTACAGCATAAGCCTTGCTAATGATGTGTTAGACGCACCCCAGGCCCCCAGGTCATGAAGTCCTGGGTGGTCACAGAGGCTGGCAGCCCCACCCCCACCACGAGTCCAAGCCCCCTGACTGGTGCTTCTCCAACATTCGGCCTGAGGGAATCCCCCCCAAAGCAGAGACCCCATTGACACGCGGACAGCCCCATGTCCAAATGTCCCTCTCCCCTGACTCCCATCCCTTTGCCACTGTATATAACGAGGAAGCGAAGTGTCAAGTTTTCCAAGATGTATTTTTCCAGAAAGCAAGACCTGAAAGTTTCCGCAAACAAATGTGTGTTATTTCTGTGATTTTTTTTTTTTTCTTCATAAATCTCATTCCATAAACCATGGTCGCTCTGTCTGCCTAGCTCAGCTGTCGGTCTAGCTCTTTCTACCTGTTTATGGATCAGGCACCTTGGCCGTCATCCACTGTGTTACAGCTTGTTTTGAAATGGTGGCCAGTGAAGGGCGAAGGGAACCTGAAAAAACCCAAAACAAAATCAAAGAGAATTATGAAATGGGACAGAAAGCTCCTTTTAATTAAAATGACCAAGAGAGCTCTTTGATATGCTGTTGTTCAGTCTTATTTATCAAAGAACTCATGCTGAGCCTTCCTTAGGTGATTTAAGAGTCATATTATTGTTTTTCTTAGTATGTGGGCAAAGGCTGGGTGGATGTTATTATTTATGGTGATAGAGGTTGCCCTGAAGCATAACTATATCTCCCTAATTGTACTCCTGCCTGGGCTCTTTCATCAGTCTTGACTGTGGGCAAGTTGTTGAAGCTCTTCTTTTAGGTCACCTATCCTTAAAATGAAGTTTGAATGGATAGTCTTGAACATCTGATCCCTTCCAACTGTGATTTAGTAGCATAACCACCAACCATTTTTTTTATCCTAAACAATGCACAGATCTTTTTTTTTTTAGGACGAGGTTACCAAAAGGCTAGATATTTCAAAGGGCTCTGAACAGTAATTACCATTTAATGCAGAAACCAAGAAGACCGAGGTAATTAATAGACCACCTCAGTTCCCGACTTCATTCCTAGGTAGTGTCTCAAGCGTAGAGGGGAAGAGTATTCTTAAAAACTGCCTTTCATGCCACTTAGTAACTGCCAAAGAACCAAGAGAGATCACAGGATCCAGCACTCCCCTCCATCTGGCTGGGGGACGGGCACAAGAGGACATGGCCTCAGGCCTCCTAGAGGGGAGAACTCCTGTGGACCCCTGAGCAGGGTGAAGCATCACCTGCTCTGGACTGTCAGTTTCCTGTTATGTTTCAGGCCCAAGAAAAGATGAGGTAAAACCTGTTTTCTCATAATCACAACTAAACTGGTGGTTTTGCTGGGTAGGTTCATTAGGTTTACATTTTCCAGGTTACTTAGATGTCATATTAGAGACTTTTGATTAAATGTTATGCTTAATCCCAAAGTACGTTTCTTTGGAAAAATCACGACTAATGTCCTTCTTCATACATTTATATTTTGCTGAGCTCTTTCTCAGCCAAGGCATTTCAGCTTTCATCCCAGGTCGGGCTGTCTGTGATGAGGAAGCAGGTGTATGTGGCCATCAGCCAGCATGCAGTGACTGCTCACCCTTGTCACTGCCCTGGGTCCCCTGTGCCGCCCAAAGAGGGGGACTGT